TGATTCACCACAGTATATAGAGGCAATACAAGCCTATGTTAGGCCTCTCTGTGCCATATGTCATGCCAGGAGGCTGCGTACGCTGTAGCACATATCCAAAAATTTGACTTTATCAGTTCATGTTATTCATGCAAAAATAAAAGAAGAGGAAAGGAGAAATCCAAGAACACGACTTTGCTCTGTTAGGGCACACACATTGAGACTATTGAGGATAGTTAAAAGCTTCCCAACACCTAAGGTAAGTAATTTATACCTTCCTCTTCCTTTCTCTACCACATTTATGAAGATTTGAGTTAGAGTTTGAGTTGGGAGGTTGATTTTCAGTCCATAAAAGTTATGAGTTCGAACCCATTGATTAAAATGAATATAATAGAAGTGTTTAGATTATTTAAACCTAACATTTATAATTTTATGAGTGGCTGGTTAGGAGAGGTCCTTAATATCTAAAATTGCAATAAATAAGGTTGTTGGAAGAGTTTAACAAGCATTAATAGTGGTTAAATGACTTATTAATGATAATCTGGGACAATGAAACTTAGTAAACACATTGGGTATGATTGGGTGTGATTTTATGATTTTTGGTAAAATAGAAAATATGGAATTATAGTATAGGAAATTTCTAAAGATGAGGTAATGATAATATCCTCGTGTTATGATTGTAGTATGGTTCTATTAGTACCATTTAAGTTTGTGAGAAGCTTTGAAAGTTAGTATTGTGAGGGGTAAACCTTTAACTTCTTAAAGGTTTGAGGTAATCAGGGAAAACTTAATTTGTATAGTTAAATGTTAATTGGTTAAACATTGTGAAACATGGTTGATATCTTATTATTGATGCAATGTTTGGCAAAATGATGAATTTGTGAATTATGGTATGATATTGAAAATAGAAACCTTTGCCAAGCCATCTCTTTGTAATTAATGATTTGATAACTAGCTAATTCTTGTGAAATTTTTGAAAATGTGGTACTTGGCATGTGAAGTGAGTTGAGTATGTGAGTATGGATATGTGATTCCATGTGATTTGATTGATTGATTTAAATGCATATTATATGTAAGTTGTGCATAACATGATTATTAGTGGGAGTTTGCCTAAGGAAAGGAGTGGATTGATAAATCACGTGATATTGGCAGTGATTGTTAGAATTGGGAGCTTGTCTTAGTACCGACCATTAAAATCGAGAGGTAGCCATTGTCCCATAATTGATTCGGGACCATCCCACTTATTTTACAAGAGACTCAAACCTAACTAGTCTCACCGATTCATGAAGAGGCTAGATTAAGGGTATAACACCTTATAGTTGTTAGTATTTAGAAAAACTGAATTACACAAGTGAGTAGGTTGAACCTAGCCTGGTAGCTCCTTACAAGTGGAATATTGGGTTATCCATAAAGGATGTTGCCACCAAATAGCTGTTAATTTCATGTCAGAGGAAACAAGAGAGTATAAAGCTAGCATTTGATCATGCATTTAGATCCGGCCATATAGTTATTATTATTGTAGTCTGGCATGTGTTAGGGGCCCATGGTTGGTATTGTTGCTATCCCATGATGTGTATTACCATTTATGTGGTTTTATGTGCATTATGCCCGATCATATAATTGTTAGTATTGTAAACCATGGTCATATTCATCATTTATGTCATATCTATGTGTTCTTGCCTATTTGCATCTGTTTTCAATTGATATGCAACTATATAGATTATGCGAATCTTAGTTATTAAGTGGTTGTACTCACCTCTCAATTTTCAATATTTTCAAGGCTTAGCTCATCAGATCTGGTTCGGGGAAAGCATACTAAGGCCATAGGGCTGTGGTGAAAATCCTACTTTTATACCTCTCTACCTTATTTATGTGTATATATGTTGTTAAATTACCCACTAGGTCATATACCATTGATTTTGTACTATTTGCATTAATTTTGTGTCACATTTGTGTATTTTATACCTTAAGTTAGTGAGTGGTAGTTATAAACCCTTGAATAGGGCTAAAATACTTGTACAAGTAGGAATGGGTGTATTTTGATTGATTTGGAATAAAAATGAATGGTTTATGCAATTTTTCTCCCCTTTACGTTTTATGAAAATACAAGGTTGAGTAGTAAAAATTTAATATACGTGTTTTTAGTAGAGTGTTGTGTGTTATACGAGTCCTCTAGAGTCCATTGAATGTGGTTGGATGGTTGACGTAGGCTTTTGACATTTGTGTATGAGTTAGGATACCATTATTGTGAGTTTTATGTGAAAAAGTGGTACAATAAATTTTGGTGTCCAACTCTTTGTAGAAAATAAATTTGAATGTGAAACTTGTGTCATTGGTTAGAATTAAAAAAAAGCTCTATGTAGATACCAAAACTATCTTAATCGGACATCAAACAGAGATTTAGGACACATCAAAATTAGTCCTAGAGCTATCATATTGCGTGCAATGTACAATGACACATGGCACAAAAATGATTTGAGCTACAGTGCATTGACCCTTAACTGCAGCACATGTCACCTTTTTTGCACAAATCACATATTTGAGTTTTAAATCTAATGTTTTGGGTCCTAATCGATTTTTAAGTTTTTGCATTATTTTAAAACTCTAATTTAAGCATAATAAGTGTTTTGGATGAGATTAAAATGTTGAATTTTAGGATCCCATTGTAAATGTTTTAAAAATTGTTCTCCTAATTGTGAATATATGAAAACTTGGTAATCCATAATGCGCTTAATCCCTTGATTACCTCGATTGTGGAGTGAATGATGTTTAATGGGTAAGAATATTTCACTTTGTGTCTGTTATAAAATATTAGAATGGTGATACCCCCTGTTCTAGTAAATTAGTACATGGAGTTGTCTTCTATTGCGTCTTGCGGGCTTTATCCATAATAGGTATGCTTGTCGCTTTTGTGAAAGGCTGTGTTGCTTGGTTTGTACTTGGATTTCCTTGAGGTAAGATCCTAGTCTAATTTTGATTTCATGTTAAGTTTTAGAGTTGTATAAATCTTGGGTTAGTTTTAATTAATTCTTATCATTATTTTTTAAGGGTGTTATACCTTTCAATCACAAATAAATCCTTTAGCATTTTTTTCATGTAAACCACCCAACTTGTATTTTATGTGCAACATCCTCACCAATTTCCCTATCATTTTGAATAATTGCTCCTAAATATTTAAACTTTTTCACATTAGATATGATTTGATCTCCTAATCTCACTTTAAAATTATTATTGACTGACTTCCTATCAAAATTACAATACAAATATTTTACCTTATTTCTACTTAGGTGAAAACCCTTCAACTCTAAAGTCTTCCTTCATAACTCAAGTTTATAGTTAATGTCTTCTCTTGACTCCACAATAAGAACTATATTATCTGCAAAATGTATGCAATTGGGGATTTTCTCTTAAATGTGCTTGGTCAAATAGATAAGGGCTCAAATATGATCCATGATATAGTCCAATCTTTATAGGAAAGTCCTTTGTCTCACCGCTAGATATTCTTACATTAGTTGTTGCCCCCTTATACTTATACATATATTGTATAGCTCAAATATAAGCAACTTGAACTCCTTTATTTTGTAATGCTTTCCAAAGTACTTTTCTTAATATGTGATCATAACCTTTTTTCAAATTAATAAAAATTATGTGTAAATATCTACTTTTGCTTTGGTACTTTTTCATTAATCCTCTTAGTAGACAAATTGTTTCTATAATCGCCCTTCTTGACATGAAATTAAATTGATTTTCAGAAATATCAATTTCCAATTTCAACCTTTACTCAAATACTTTTTCCCACAATTTCATTGTATGACTCATAAACTTAATTTCTTTATAGTTTTCACAATTCTGAATGTCCTCATTTTTTTAAAAAATAGGAACTAAGGTACTTTTTCTTTATTCATTAGGCATTTTCTTAGATAGTAAGATCTCATTAAATAATTTAGTTAGCCATAAATCCCCTCTTCATCTAAACATTTCTACAACACTTCAATAGGGTATAGTCAAGCCCAATGGCTTTATCATTTGCCATTTTTGTAATAGCTTCCTTAAGCTCATTATCACATATCTTTCAATAGATGAAAAATTATGTTTTCTTTCATGAATTAGTAAATCCTCCAAATTATTAGACGAGCCCCCTCTATCATTGAAAAGCTCACAAAAGTAATTAAGTCTCTCATCTGTTTTTAATATCATCATTTGTAATCAAAACTCTTTCTTCTTCATCTTTTATATACTTTACTTGTTCTAAATCTCTTGATTTTTTTTTCCTACTCTTTGCAATCTTCTAAATTTTTTATTTTTCATCCTTTATCCCTAGACCCTTGTAAAACTCTTCAAATGCTTTAGAGCATCTTTTACTCTCAATTTTTTTAATTTCTTTTTTAACCACATGATACAATTCTCAATTTTTAGCATTATTACATAAATGTAAAGTTTTAAAACATTTTTTTTTACGTTTGACTTTCTCATGTATGTTCTTATTTCACCATCAAGACTCTTAATCTCTCATATCAAAATCTTTTGATTTTTTCAAAACTTCTTAACAACATTTCTTACCTTCTTAACCATATCCTCCTATAATATGCTCGCATTTCCTTAAGACTTTCAAATTCCTTTGTCCGAAAAATTCCTCATGAAAATTTCCCCCTTCTTACCCTTTAATTGCTACTACCTAATACTTGAATTTAACACTTCTTGACGCTTTTAATTTATACTCTTAATATATACATAAAGAATAAAGACCCTATGTTGTGTTGTTACGTCATCCTTAAAGATTACCTTACAATTGTTTTGAACTTTCTATCCATGTTTTTTGCCAAAAAAAAGTCAATCACTGGCCTAGAGGCTCTACTTTTACAAGTCATGAAATGTTTATCCCCTTTTTGAAACAAATATTGAAAATCTTAAAAGCAAATGCAAAGTATAAGTCCAACCATCTAGTATTTTCAACGACGAAAAAAACGGCTGCTTTGTGTTACGAAGACAAATGGGGGTACAACAAAATGAGAAAACAAGGGTTGAACTCGTTGAAATCTTACTTCAATCTATAAAAAAAGGTTGATGTCATTTGAATCATTAGCTTATTAACAGAAGAAAGACGCTTTTGTTCCAACACAAGAACTACCCCAATCGAGAGGCAAATCCAGAAATTCTGGGACAGAATATTCACATAGAGGCCCTCAATGTGTCAAACGCCAGAAAATTATCAATTATCAATTATCAAGCAAGTTTGGTCAGAGTGGAATGCATTGCAAATTTTGACCCGATGAATACAATTGCTGACGACAATATTCTGGAAAAAAGAAAGAGAGAACGATCAACAATTATTTCAAGCACCTAAGTCCGTTGCATAAAAATAAAACTAGAAGTAAAAACTAAAAAGTCAAAATTTGTCATCGTAACTGCAAAACACCTCATATATCAGCTTGTAATATTAACAAGAGGTATAAGTAATGCTAAATCTTAATGCATCACATTATCGATATTTTGGTGCACAGTAATTACAAACTCAACAAATCAATCTGCTACTGAGATGAAGAACTAAATACCAGGTTCAAGAAATGCCCACATCAAACTTAAAACTATTTTGTTGTGGATTTGGGAAACCCATGTTCAACTTCTACTCTCATGTTAATCAACAGGAACTTCAACTTCCATTTTCAAACCTGAGTTGCCAAGAATCTGGAGAAAAAAGAATAGATGTGGATCAATAATGCAGTTTTCAAATAAAAGATGGTAATGACGCAGTGACAAGTAACATATATCAAGAACAAAAGACACCTTATTCACCCAAAAAAAAAAAAAAAAAAGACACCTTAATCAGAAAGTGCACAAGTTGAGTCCAGCACAAGTATTCATGACTACACAAGTATTACCAGAAAATCATCATGATTGGGATAATATCATGCCCATTGACTTGAATAAAAATCATTTTTATAATTATTATAACCAGTGTTCCAGAAAGAAAAATTTGATTAAACATGGAATTGGCAGTAAAGTAGGCGACTGCTGCCTCCAACTTCAAGCTGCCACAACCAAGTATATGGGTGCTATCATCAAGACAAATGACTTTTATCATTAAGACTAACTAAATAATTATCATGAGAAATCAACTTGAGAAGAACTTCAACCTGTTTTTTTGTCATAAAATCTTTGACAAGCAAGAGCATCTGATCATGGTAGATTGAAGATAAACAAGAAAATAATTGGATGAAAGAATAATGAAGAGAAGTTTACCAGATCAAAGATTAGAATACCAAAAGTCACAAATCTTAATTCCTGACACTAGAAGAACAGAAAAACTAAAGCAAATCAACCGTCCCTGACTAGCTTATTAAATCGTTGATCAACGATAACTTACAATAAAGCAAATCAGTTCATGTTATTTATCAGTTGTTTTGGTACCTTCATGAAGTCAGACAAGACCAACAATGAATCCTTTTTATAGCCTGCTTCCTCGAGGACTTGTGCTAGAACTTGCTGTACCAGGTACAACGAAACAAATAGGCTGTTAGCAGCAAATATGGAAGTTAATGGGACCCATTTCAACATGTTATATCTCATTTCCAAAGCACTATACGCACTATATGCAGTAAATCATTTACTGTAGAGGATCTGGACTCATACGGACAGCCAAGCACTCTACATAGAAATTTTCTTTGGTTAAAAATGCAGTTCACTTTTCTTGTCTACTTGTTAATAAATACAGACATGTAACCTGCAAGTTATGAAATAATCCTTCCAGTTTATGATTTTTTTTTTTAAATAGCACCCCTTTGCTCTTATATTAATTAATTATATGTGAAGGTTATCGGTAAAAGAAAGAAAGACAGAAAAAGATGTAAAAGTTGAAAGCCTGGGAAATTTGACGTTCTTTTTTCCAAAGTTTCACTGCATCTCTTCAAGTTCCTTGTTGTCTGCTGCTTACAGTTGCAGCTTCGATAGGGATACCTTCCCGTAGCTTGATCTCTATTGTCCATATAATGATTTATCCACTTGTTCCCTTAAATAAAAATTTCAAGTGAAGTGTTGCCTTTTGTGTTCTATTGGATAAATTCATACAGCAACAAATAGAAAATCCAAATTTCTGCCATTAAGAATTATGGACTTATCCTGAAATGTCTATTTCCTCCTCACATAAGAAAACCACACAAAGCAGGGAAGGAAAACGGAATTTTGTCTAGCGGAAGAAACCCCTAGTAATATCTCACCTCTCTCTGGTGTTCAGATATGAACTGTCCTGTCAAATCTCGTAAGACGTCCAACATGTCATTGAAGCTCACTTTTCCATTGCAGTCTGTGTCATATACCTTGAAAATAACTACAAAACGAACAGCATCCACAAGAAGATTTCAGCAATCAGCAAATTAACTTGGGAGAAATTAATTATAAATCCGGCAACCCAGAGAGACTCAATACATTCAATTTTATGCTGTAAGGTCGCACGAGGACTAAATGCAGATAAGAACGCTACAAATTCCTTGAAGTTCAATCCATCCAGCAGCCTTAACAATCTCTGACACATCATAAGATCAATGAATTACCAAAAAAATGCACAGAAGGAAAAAATCAATACACACGCAGACAAACTAATCATTCACTTCTACTCATAACGTGAGAAGGAAAATGCAGATAGAGAAAAACCTGAGAGAGAGGATTGACGGCGAATTCGGGGAGGGACAAAAATTCGTCAGCGGTAATAAAACCAGAGCTATTTCGATCTAACTGACAGAATCTCTCGTACAGGGAAACGATCTCCTGCTGCGTAACTAGAAAATAAGAAATTGAATAAATTAAAAGCTTAGTAAGTGAAAGAAATGACGGAAACTAGAAAGCATCGTGGATTGAAGGGAATGCGGAATTACAAGTGTAGTTACAGTGTTGCTGGACCTCTTCGATGTCGTACTGCGTGAGCATAGAGGAAGTGTTGCCCATGGTGATGAAGATCAGAGATCAGTGGAACGTAGGAAGGACCCTAAAGAACGTTTTCTGGTACAAGGGGGAAAGCTACGAGTCAAAGACAGTCAGTAGCTGAAGGAGAAAAGCTAAGAAACTGGAGCGGCACTGAACTCAGGCATCAGGCAGTGAGCAGGCGAATCAAGGAATGGGAAAATCGGCGCTGAAGATCAAGTGGTGAAAATTTTGAGAAAAAAACTTCAATTCAAGAGGTGTATTGCAGATTTACAATTGATTGAAAGATTGTTGAAGATTTTGCAATCCGCAATCTCCTTGAAGTGTTGGTCTTTTTTCTCGAAGTTTTTTGCTCATGTGGTTTTTATATCCAATTTTTCATAATAAAAAAATAAAAAAAATATTGTTTTATTTAAAAATATAAAATATTTTTAATTAAATTTTACCTTTCAATAAAGTAATTATTTATTTTTAAATTAATATTATTTTTTATGTTTATCTCTATTAAATATTATATAATAAATATAAAATTATTATTAAAATATTTTTTTAAAAAATAATGATTACACTTTAAAAAATTAAAAATATTTTATATTTTTTAATATCTAACTTTTTAAAAAAAATTTTTGTTTTTTAACGAAGGGAGTATAAATAAAACAACTTAGGACTTAAAATAATTTTGATAAAATAAAGATTCAGCAATAATTGATAACTTTAATAAAATAAATTAATGATATAATTAAAATAATTTTGTGATTTCTCATAATTTTTATGTAAGACATTATAATAATCTAATATTTTTTCAGAATTTTTATTGCAAGTTTTTTTTAAAGCTCGAGTAATTTACATAAAATAATAAAATAAAATTTATGTTAAATTAAAAGTTTTAAAATTCACCATGAGAATTTATGTGTGTGAATAGTAACCGCAAGAGTCTTAATGGGTTCAATGAAATTTTACATGACCTAATGAAAGGCATTACATAAAAATCAATCCAATTAGGATAATTAGAGTCCATCTATCTTGGTTTTTCTATTTTCAATGCATTAATATTTTCACACTTAATTTTTTGGGTATTTTTTTTAAAATTAGTGTTTTAGACTCTATGAGCCTATTATGGGTTTTCAAGATTAAGCTGTCCATTAGATATTTTAAATTAGAGTTTTCTTAAAAGTCTTACTATGATTAGAATTCCCAATTGGAGTCCCTTGTAAATACCTCTCCATTAAATTGAGAAAAGATGATAAATTTTGATTCGTGTATTTGGATAAATGAGTATTTGAATTTGAACCAAATCTTTTATTTCAAAACATAAAAATTTATGAATTTAAATTTGAACTTTCAAGTTATAATTCCTTTGTAATTTAAATTTTTTTTACATTCTAATCATTTAAAATTCTGTTCACCCTAAACATCTTATTCTCTCTACGTTTTTATTATTGATATATTTATAACTCATATATCTTTTCTCATCTCCTATCTATTAAAAAATAAAAATAAACACATCATTTCCAATTTTTTATTTTTGTTTTAAATTTCAATTCATCTCTCTTCATCATTTGCAATTTTTTCAAGACAAAATTCTAAAATAGACTTGATCAAATGTGACTTTGTGGAGAAGGACTTCAAAGAGATTCCAAATTAATGTCCTTCGTTGACATTAATGTGAAACTTCAAATGACTAGATTGCTCTTATGAGTAAAAGAATAAATATTGTGCAAGATCCTTCATTGTTAATATGTTGCATAAGATCATTCACTTTCAATATGTCACAAGGTCTTTCAGTGTGATATGTTAAATAAGGTGTTTTAGTGTTAATATTTCATGCAAGGTGTAAATTTTTAGAATATCCAGAATGATTATTCAAATAAATGAAAAATAAATTGCATTTCCTTAAAGAGTAGTTGTATATTGTGAAAAAATGGTTACATATAGTTGCAAATAAAAGCAAATAAATCCTGAGTGAGAGTTAGTAGGTAGTCTCACCGTAAAATCTAAATAAATAAAAGCACTAAGTGAGAGTTTAAAAAAATTACATACATGCAAAAAGATTAATATAAAATTCAAAGCTATTGAAAATTACTCTAAAACCTTCTTAAGATTACTCTAAGACCTTAAAACTATTTCAAAGCACTCCAAAATTTCCTTTTAAATTCATACCTCTATCATTTAATTATTTTGCTAGAGTAGTCAGAATTGATGTTTAACTTAAATTATATAAGTTTCCAAATTCAATCTTAAGTCTTAAAGCTAGATTTTAATTATATAAACAGATATAATATTTTATTATACCCATATGCATATGCAAACACGAACATGATATGCCAGAACAGGATCCATGGCAATGGTACATTTTTTTTTCAAAAGATAATCACCAGAAGGCAACAAAGAAAGGCGCTATTATTATTATTATTATTATTATTATTATTATTATTATCATTATGGTTATTATGGTTAAGGTGAATTTTTACCCTCAAATTTTTTTTTTCAAGAAACATTAAACACCCTACACTGATAAATGATGTAATTTTATTTTTAAATTATTTTTTAAGGAGTGTTAGGTACTCTATAGAAGCAGTATTTTGCTCTTAAAAAATAATTCAGGTGTAAAATTATCTTATTTATTAGTACAGAATGCCCAGCGCTTCTTAAAAAAAGTTCAAGGATAAAACTGTGCCAAAACCCTTATGATTATATACATATACTCCATCTGTCTTTATATATAAAAGGTTTTCTAAAACTTTTTTTATTTTTAAATATAAGATATTGTTAGCATAATTTTTAATGAATAAACCACTATACTTTTATTAAATTAAAAAGAGTAAAAGATAAGTACTCATATTAATTTATTTTTAAAAAAATAACTAATTTTTTATTTATAATAATTAAAGGTAAAATTAAAATTTTTACATGCTTTTAATTAAATAATTATTTTTTATTAACTTACATGATTAAATTAAAAGTATCTCATATATAAAGATGAAGTGAGTAAGATGAAAGCAGGAGTTGAAGTCAGATGTTGGTGTCATGGCTGGTGGCAGTGAGCGGACGCCGAAAACATTTCCTTATTTGAATAAATCTCCTTCTCAAGTCCTCTAAATCATGATAACTACAGTCTACCACTTACCAAATTCAAACCTACCCCATATCATTATTCTGAAAAGAACCTCAATTCCTATTTTTAACACCACTTGCCTATAAGTTGTTACATGTTTCCTATCTCTACAGAGACATCATGAATGTAGGAATTTGATATTTATAAAATTCAATAATTTCTTTAGTGCCTAAAATTTTGTAATTTTCCCACAATATTTGCAAAAAAAAAAAAAAAACTCTTTAAAAGAACATTCAAATCAACGTGCAATATAAGTTGAGATGGTAACATTCATAACCAAACACATACATTTTGAAGAGTGTCATCCAAATCGTCATTTTGTCTCTAATTCACTTTCAAGTTTTCTTTTCCCAGCCCACAACTCTCACAATTTATTTGTAACGTTTCCGCTGTATTACTCTGATTAATCACGGTTATAATAATTTTCTATTACATATCTTGGTTTACACTATTCTCATAATTTGCTCAGAGTTTCTCTTATGGGCCATGTTATACACTTTACTAGTTCTATGCTTCCATAATACATTTCAATGCATAAAATTCTTCCTCCTCCAACTTATCACGATAACTGCGACATACTTTTACCCAACAGTTTTAATTTTAATTTTTTTTTTCACACACTTGCTCTTAACCTTGAAATACTACCATCTCTTCTCCATTTTGATAACTTATAACCTTTGCACGAAACTCAATCATCAACATATTGCCGTAAAAAAAAAAAAATTGTTGCACTGTAAACTATTTTCACAACAAATCCATAACTACCAACTTCAAAAAGGTGATTCTTAGGGTTCAAGGAGAGGGGAGAGAAGGGTTTTAATATTATCTTATTTGGTTTCATTGGAGGGGAGGGATTTTTACTGATCCGTTATTTGATTTAGGAGAGGAGAGGAGGAGACGTAATAACTAATTTACTATTATATTTCTATACATTACTTTAAAAAAAGTTTAGTTGTTCTTTGTAAAAAATAATTTTATACCTCAATTTAAATTGCATGATTTTTTTTAAAATTCACTCCTATCCTATTGTATTGTCAATATGTGAATAAAAAAAATTAAACCAATAATATTGATAATAATTTTTTATAAAAAATAAATAACTCCCTAAAATATATAATAAAATAGGAGTAATTAAACCAATAATATTGATAATAATTTTTATAAAAAATAAATAATTCCCTAAAATATATAATAAAATAGGATTAAGGTATAATTTTGCTCTTAAACTATTCTTGAAGGAGCAATATTGCCCCTAAACTAATTAAATCAAAGTAATGTTGCTCCCATCATTAAAACGTCCATTACTGTAACTAGTGGGACCCATTTTTCATGAATTAAGGTGCAATTTTGCCCTAAATTATTCTCAAAGAAGTAATGTTGCCCTCATAATTTAAAAATCATAAATTAAATAAAAATAAAACTATAATAATATTAAATGTATATATAAAAATAAAGTTATAATAATACTAAATTTATATATAATAAATATAAGAAAAAATATAAATTATAATTTTATAATTTTTCAAATATGAGTAGATATTGGTTAAGTTTAATATGAGTAGATTCAAAAGTATCTGCATATGTACCTATAACTATTAACATCTTTATAAAAAATAGTTTCAAATCATATTTTATACATGTGAATTGTTTAACAATAAAGTTGACTTTTAGTATAATCTAATTTTTAAAAAATTTTTTAAGCTTTTTTAACATTATATTTAAAACCATTCAATTTTTGAAAAAGGTTCCTCATTCAACTTTGGTTTCTAGTTTAAAAGTAATTTAGCTCTTGTCCAGTTTAGCTCAATTATAAAAATGATTTTTTGTGTCCAAATTGAGTCATTAATGATATCTTCGATCGATAGTTATAAGTGTAAATGCAAATACTTTTGAATCTACTCATATCTAATTTAACTAAGATTCATTTATATTTGACAAGTTATAAAATGATAATTTATAATATTATTAAGTTATGACATTTTATTCAATACTATAAATTTTTTTCTTATATTTATTTTATATATACATTTACTATTATTTTATTTAATATTATTATAATTTTATTTTTATTTAATTTTATGATTTTTAAACGATAAAGGCAACATTGCTCATTTGAAAATAATTTAAGGACAAAATTATACCTTAACTCATGAAAAGTAGGTCCCATTAGCTACAGTAATAAATGTTTATAATGTAGGGCAAT